CCCTTAGTATATATATATATACACAATGGATATACATGGCATAGGGCCACAACTTCAGTTTTTAGAAAACAATTTTTTAACCTATTTTTTTTCACATTTTTACAGAATGGTTTTAATTTGGTAAATGGTACACTTATTTCTGATTTCCTGTTTATGTTCTTATTGTATTTTCTTGTAAATATTTAGAAATCTAGATTCAAATTCAAAAGGTAGATTGTGATTTGGTTCTGTATAAAACATGTCTTTTTAGCTAGCAGCTAGTGTGTTATAGCTAATTTAGTAATCCACAAGATGTTGCTAATTTGAAATAAAGTATGTTTTGAGATTGTTGACGCTTTAGCTAAATACTGATTCTGTTTATTCATGGATTGAGCAATGTAGTTATTTCAATATGTTTTACAGTACATGTGTATGTGCTTTTGCAGCGCCCTCTATGGTTGTACAATGCTCTGATCATTTCTAAATTACTTTCATGTGCACAAGACTGGTCCGCCAGCTCTCAACTGCCATTTTGATTTTTATAAATGTCTTCTTGAAAGCTATAAAGTAATTGTGTACCCCATCGATGTGTAAGCTGAAATGACTGTAGCAATTGTCTATTTTGTTCAGATACCTGACTCCTCATAGAGCAAATGCATTATTTGGATTCTCATCGATATATTTTCAAAATCTGCCATAGAAAATAACAAAAATCCACCCATAATGCAATGCTTGTTCTGGAATTTAATATGAAATACAACCAACTAGTTCTGCTCGTGACGACCACAACATATATTGATTAAATCAAGTTTAAAGTTTTGATTTCACTTTTAAGACCATTTGTTTCTTTCTAAAGGGCAGGATGCTGCATATTTTACCTGCAAAGGAGAAGATAATAGACGAACCTAACGATGGCGATGATCGGGAGTCGTCCTACAAGAAGAAAAAGAAGGCCAAAGATAAAGCATTAAGTGGCAGGTAGGTGACCGACTGCATCACATGGATGGAGACAGTGATGCGAATGCTCTCCTAACATCAACGATTTGCTGTGATTTTTTTTCAAAATGTCCTAAATTCACTACGTTCAATTACCCACCATAGACTCTGGTCAGTCAAAATGACTATTTTGAACTGTAGGCATTGATCTGTTATTCAGCCAATGACGGAGAGAGAAATCTAGGTCAGGGGAAGCCCCATGATCCTCTGCCTAATTTTAATTATTTCAAACAAAAGGTCTAGGTGTTTTCTGTTAAATTTACTGTTTTACACCGAAAATATGGCAAATAATTTCTCATGACACTAGTTACCTTTATGAAAAAATGCCCTAGGCTATGGTTTAGGCAACTGAACCCCTGGCAGGCTGTGAGTTTGCTCCCATCAACTGACTGAGCTATCAGCAGTGTACATTCTACCCAAATTGGTCGTGACGATTCAGTTCCCTGGAATCCTGATTAAAAATGAGAATTATTAAAACTGTTGTTGCTCTTGTTTGCTGTTCCTGTTCACAGTACATGGTAAATAATCCAGGTATTCTCGTCGCAAGAAATTGTGAATTCTGCAGAATGATTCCAGTTTTTCCCATGAAAGCATGTAGCATTGCTTTATTCTTATCTCACATCTTGTAATTAAATTGGAATGTATCCAATCCAATCCATTTTTCAAACTCTTTGAGATCCCACGTTATTCGTGAAATTAAACATCAAAACAAAACAAACAAAGGTCATCGTGTTGTATTTAGGGGTCAATACAACCAGTGGGATTTGACAAACATAAAATATGCTATTTTCACATTTAATAATGTAATAACAATTTAATACATGTTTGATAATGGTCAATTTTGATTATAAAATATCTCAATGTTTCCCTCTGAAATATTTGTATTTTGACACTGAACAATAAAAATAATTTTCAATCTCAAAATCAAATTATTCAACTTTTGTGGCAGACATTCAGTCTGCACCTTTCACACCTAACTTGAGATCTCAAAGAATTTTGGAAAATCCATTGTTGCAATAACATTTATATGTGTACGAATTGACCACGTTTTCACCACCCTCTCTCTTACTCTAGTTCTCACAATTGGAACAGTTTATTTATCGCTGCCAATGCAGTAGCAGACGCCATTGCTGATAAGTTCGACACGTTGAAAAGTGATGTCCTAGATGCAGTAAGTAACACAAGTGTCTGACATTCCAAAAAAAATCATCTGCAAATGGTTTTCTGACTTCATGCATTTTATCTGAGGAAGTTGTGAACCGTCAATATTTGCATAATCTCTAGTGAATCAACAACTATTCAGCCAAATGTTCCTTTTGTAAAAGTCTTTCTACGTATTTAAGGAAATCTCTGAAGCAGTGGCTGGAAAAACGAGTTCAAATTCAAATGGGTTGCTGGTACATAAATTGTGTTTGAAAATATTTCACCATGGTAACTAAAATGTTCAGTACAATGTCCAGACTAATTTAAAAAAAAACATTTGATATTCAGAAATATTATTTATCCAAACATCAGTGGATTTCTCAAGATTAGTCTGAAAAAAGCTATTATTAAAGGTAGAATCCTACTTATAAATTAAAATACCCAAAATTTATTCATTTTGCAATAAATTGTACTCCAAGCCAATATAAGTTAGGGGTCAGCAGCCTTTTTTTCAAGAAATTGATGGTTTTATTTTAGTGGAAAGTCGTCATTTTAACACTATTACAACACTTTTGCTACAGGTTCCTGTGGCAGAGATATTATGCAATATTTCAAAATCTAGCCTGGTGACATAGGCTGAAAAAATCATATATTGTTAATGATGGAATACTTTTTGTTGTTCTGAATTATTAGATTTTTAAAAAGTGTCAAAAAATGTAATTTTTCTTTAACATTGTGTTCTATATAATTGTTCTAAAAATAGTACTTTTCAAGAAGTATTGGATTACTTTTCTCAAAAAGCTTAACTGTAACACACAAAATAATTCTATTTCATTGTACCATGGAAGATTAGCTTCATGATTGCACATAATAAACTAATGAACATTGTCATGCGATTTATGACCAATTTTGTTAAAAATTATGACTAGGCTTCTACTTTCCAGTCTCTGCTTCATAGACTTGCTTGTATAAGATACCTCTGTTAACTGAATACCTCTGTAAACCAAACACCATTTTCCAGACTGTTAACATTACCAAAATATAGACTAAACTTTTCTCAGTCCATGGTTTCTCAATGTTAGGCTTTATGAATTAAATTGATAATGATTGTATTTTCCTTACAGGAAGGAACCAACAGTTTAGCCGTAAGAATGGCACTGGGGGAAACTCAAATTGTGTCGGAAACCAGGCAGTTTTTATTGGACAATGGCGTCAGCCTAGACTCATTCAGTCAGGTAAGACTGTAAAAATACTGCCTGAAATTTTTCTCGAAAGATCTTTTACAAATTTGTTTCTAGTCTCTGCTTTTTAATTTGTTATTATATTTTGAAATGAAAACCATCAGCATTTTGCAAGTGTCATCAAATGTTGAAATGGAGTGCCCTGAAACTGTTTGTATGTACCTCATGGGGTGCCATGAAACTTCTCAACAACCACACATGTTAATGCTGAATATCAATTTTCACAAGTTTCTATTTTTCATTTTTGTTTTGTCTTATTATTATTGTACTGTATTTGCTCTATTAGTAGCTCATATGTTTATGTAAATGACAGTGGAGTGTCCATGATAAAAATTAGTTGCATTTTACTTTCTATTGCGATAATGGATACACTGTATTTATATTGTTAACTTTGTCTTCGTTGGTGGTGTTGTTGACAATCCTTGTGGTCTCAATAGATTTGTTATCCATTTTCAAACTGTAGGCAGCTGCGCCTCGAAGTTCCACTGTGATACTTGTAAAAAATCTACCAGCTGCAACGTTACCCGAAGAGCTGCGGCATGTGTTTTCAAAATTTGGTGAACTGGGACGTATACTCCTACCGCCTGCTGGCGTAACGGGAATTGTTGAATTTCTAGAAACGAATGAAGCTAAGCTGGCATTCAGAAAGTTAGCATACACAAAGGTAAAATGGGTTACAACTTTATTC